TCACTAAGAAGAGGAAAATACAGAAACGGCGCATGATGTCAGTTAGCTTGGTTTGTACCTCAGTCTAACTGAAGTTTATTTTCATAGAACTCCATATACACTGTACAGGATTCTCAAATAAAATTTAAAAAGCGCGATTTACATGGTTGGGGTAGCAAAAATGACACAAAAGCGACATTATTTTCGGTGCAGTTAGTAAAAACAGATTTCTTCATTATATTTTTGATTGTTTCCCATTAGTCTGCCACTTAACTAAATTTCTAAACGTGTTTTTTGTTCAAACAATGTAAAACTTTTTAAAAAACAAACAACTAACGTTGCGTTTTTTTGTGTCAAAAATGTATGGCGTCTCTTTAACGATAAAAATCAACTCAAGATGCACATTTGTTAGCATATATAGTATACTCCTAAAACCAAAATTTCAGAACTTTAGAAATAAAATTTATGCATTCATTTTTTTACAATGAACACGCATACACACACAAAGCCTCTCCCACACGCATACTTCAGCCACATAGCATCGTTTTTGAAAGTAGGGGGGGGGGGCAGCCAGAGAGAATTTTTTTTTACTTAACTAAAAAAGTAACACACAAAAAAACCCCAAACAAACAAGAAAAAAAATTAAACAAAAAAGGAGTAAAAAAAATGCTCAAAGTCGAAGTTCCTATATTGGGGGGGGGGGGGGGGGACTTTTTTAAATACAATTTTTTCCAGTACTAATTTTTGAAAATACTTTTTCCTTATATCCCGAAAGGTTGGAGGGGGCAAGCATCCATTCAACGAACATTTCCTATATTATATGAATTGTTGGTAGAAAAAAGGGGGTCCACCTGTTGCAACGTGCCTGTATTTATCATGCTTTTAAAATAACATTTTGAATATTTCAAAACATGCATGTCAAATATTATTTCTATTGAATTATTTATTTACATCGTTTTATGTATGTTACAATAAAAATCACTGTGATTTTTTTTTTTTAACATTTTTTTAAATTCCTTAAATTTTATTGCAGACAAAAAATACTAAAAAAGGCACCAAAGTGTCATCGATCAAGCTGGAAAAGGAATCAGAAATGAAGCCTAGGGCGCATGTTTCCAGCATGGCTCTCAACAAAGCCTTTTATCAAAGAAAGAACTCAGTTTTAAAAACGGTAAATATTAGCATCTTCCATTCTGTTATTAAATCCATGACATCTGAAAAATAAATTTATCACTTAATCAGTTCTAAAGATATTTATTTTACACTGATGTTCGAATCATGAATTACCTCAATTGTCTCCACTGTTGTCTTTTTTTCATTTTTTTTGAATTTTTGAAAAGTATGTTTTAATTTCCTTCTCCATATGGTTCATTAAACATGTATAAATTACATTCTAGAAGAACTTGAATTTAATTCTGCGAGTGGTAATCCTACTTATACATATACTTCTCTTCTAAGGAAGAAATTCTTCAAAATCACCTGTCAGTTTTGAATACTTTTAATATTCCACAGAACCAAGATGAATTTGAACTACCTTATATATATTGGATTCCGAAACTTCATAAGAATCCTTAAAAACATAGATACATTGCAGGTTCCAGTAAATGTTCAACTAAGCCTCTTTCGTTACTTCTCACTAAAATATTGACAGTAATGAAGGAAAAACTTCAAGAGTACTGTACAACTATATATTCAAGAAGTGGTGTAAATCAGATGTGGATACTTAAAAATTCTAAAGAACTTTTGGACAATTTGAAATCACAAGACTTTACAAAAATCAACAGCATAAAAACTTACGACTTTTCAACTTTATACACAACAATTCCCCACGACAAATTAAAATCCAGGCTTTTTGATATCATTGACAGCTGCTTCTTCAACAAAAAATGGAACTCGTAAGTTTACTTACCTCGTCACTGGTCATTTGAAAAAATTATTTTGTTAAAACAGATTCTGATTGAAAACACACAAGTATTCTAAAGTTGACATCAAGAAGATGCTTGAGTTTCTGATTGACAATATCTATGTGGTTTTTGGAAACCAGGTATTCCATAATCTATTGGAATTCCCATGGGTACAAATTGCGCTCTGCTATTAGCAGACTAATTTTTATATTTATATGAAGCAGAATTTATGCAAAATCTTTTACGTGATAAGAAGAAAACACCTGCTGTGGCCTTCAACTCGACATTTAGATATATCGACGACGTATTGTCAATTAATAATGATAATTTCCATTCCTACGTCCACACGAAATATCCTGGTGAGCTTGAGATAAAAGATACCACAGAATCCGACACTTCTGCTTCATACTTGGATACTTTACTTGAAAAAGACAATAATGGTAATCTAACAACCGAGCTTTATGATAAATATGATGTCTTTAACTTTTCTATCGTCAACTTCCCTTACTTATGCAGCAATATACCTTCATCACCTGCATACGGAGTATTTATATCTCAGTTGATTCGATACGCAAGAGCATGCTCTACGTATGAACAATTTCTTAAACGAGGTAAATTATTGACAAGCAAGTTGATGAAACAAGAATATCAACAGTCATTTTTCATACCAATTGTTAGTCCATTATTTATACACTGAATTGACCACGGATTTTTTCTGTTATTTCCTGATTATGACAACGAAACACGGCGGGTGTGACCGGTCGGCAGGGGATGCTCACTCCTCCATGGCACCTGATCCCACCTCTAATGTTTCGGAGGTCCGTGTTTGCTCTGCTCTTATTTTGTATATTTGTTTAATGGACGTTGAGATTGAAAACTGTTTGTTATTTCCATATCTTTCCTTATGCTCATTTTCTGCACACAAAGAGACCAGCCGAGCTGAACGAAGATGTCGTTAAGGATTTCTGTCAAACTCCAGTGATTGAGGAGCTGGGAAGGATTTCATCTTTCAACATAAAGTAGAGGGTGTTAGTAAAAGGAGAGAACGATAACGTGAGTCAATATCATTTGGAGATCAGAAACATATGGGAACTCTCTAAAATAATTCATGTATAGTAAAGCAATGAAGAAACATGCATATGAATAAGGAAGCATTATTCAAATATAATAAAATATTCTTTACAAAGGCTTACTGTAGAGAATGATGTAAATCAAAATTCCATTCAATCATTTGGTGTGTGAAACATCTCTATGTCTTCACAAGGCAGAAATATGTGAAATATAATCACAATCATTATCAATTTTTATTCCATTTTTTTTAATTTTTGCATTATACGAGGGTTGTTCGGAAATTATTGAGACAATAACATTTTACTTCATCAGGTCAAGCACAATACATTGATAAAGGTATATAGCTTGTTAAAGCTATATAGCTTTATCAAGGTATTTAAAATACCTTAATCAAGGTATTTTGTGTGATGAAAATACAAAAAAAAAATTTCTTTAAAACTGAAATTAAAAAAATCGAATTATGAGTTGTTGTCAGTTTGTTCACTCGTGCAATAAAAGTACTCAGGTATCGAAAAGACAGCATGAAAGAACGTCTTCATCCGCGCCGAACGTAAAAAAAAGTTTCAATCCAATTGAACAAGTCATCATCAGTGGTATAATTAAAGTTTGAACGCAGTCCCGATATGGTAAGTAAAATATTTTATTATGTATATAATGAAAGAAAATATTAAACTAAAAGTTTGATAGCAAGACATGTTTTTCACCAGAAAGTCATAAGTCAAAGCTGTTCATGTTCGGTCATAAATGACAGTTAAGTGTAAACAAAATTGTTAATAAAAAAGATTGACAGCACTCACAACTTTCTGCTTTGATGGCTCCTTTTAGTATCCAACCGGAAATTAAACGCTTAAACTAAAAGCAGGAGGCGGAATCAGGCATCTCTTCATCTTCCAGGTAAAAATCTACGGAGACACAATGGCGTTAAAAATATCGTTATATTTGAATTGAAATAAATTGCATGACATATGGAAAGAGTTGTTCAAATATGTTTTCTTTAAAGGAAAAGAAGAAAAAAACTTTATAAATACAGGAAATGTTGATAAATAATAATTTTAAAATATATTGTTTTATAGAATTATAATTGAGTACGAACAAATTCTATAACAAATATCATTTATTAATTCATATGAATTTAATCAGGAACTAAATCCAGGAAAAAATATAAAGGACAGGGAAAGAGGGGACGCTGTAGAAGTTGGAAAACAAGTACAAATTACATAGATGATGACCAGAAGCGCAACAATTCAGTTTTTAAAAGAAAGAATACTCTGCTAAAAAACGTAATATACATTTTTTACCTTGAACGTCTCTGGCATTTTTCAAACTGTCTACCAGTTCCTTATAAAACTGAATGTAGAGCTTTTTGGTGCCAGTTTTCATATCTCTTCTCCATTACAACGTCTTTTGTTCTCCTGTAGATACATCATTTCAAGAAACATAGAAATTTTTTAATATATGTGTTTTCATGATTGATATAAATATTTTATTTTTAATGTACCTGCATCATCATCTAGGTCAATTAGTTCATCTAACTGGTCCACAATCTTTCCTGAAATATCTGTTTTTGTTTTGTTCTCAATAGAGTTAAAATTTGTACGATCAAGAGAAGTGAAAAATATAGGCACTAAAGAAACGGATGGTTTAAGAGAATTTTGTTTAGCTGTTTCCTGAAAGAAAGTGACATGATTAGTTTTGCATTTTTGGGAGAAATTGACAAGGTCATAGTCCAGAGGTTTGTTGGAAAGAGAAGTATGCTCCCTGGGTTTAAGGGGAGAAAGAAGATAGTCAGATTCACGAAGTTCTGCTCTCCACTGATATATTTCATTCAGAAGATCTGTATGGTATATGGAATCTTCACTGGTATCCCTTACTCCGAGTTGGTGTTTAATGTTCTTGCTGATCTGCAAAACAATTAATCTAGCTATTTTACACTAATAAAACGATTATTATTCTATTTAAGTTCATATTATTTTATGTATAAATTAATTAAATGTTTAAATTATTTTTGTTTATCTTAATATAACTTCAACCTTAAATTTTTTGTAGGCAAACGAGCTTCACAGCAGTACGCACTGTGAAATTCTTTCAATAATTAAAACCCTTTCAGGAAAGGTCAAGACCTTTACCACATCTCTCTTTGAAGAGGTAGGATTGAATAACCTGGCAATAGAAAAAAAATAAATGCATATTTGTATTCATATATTTACATCTTTTTCAATGTGTTTATTTTTGTTCAGGAACTGAGAAGTATCATGGACCGCTCGATAGGAAAACCTACTCCTCAACCTTCCTCAACTCCTTCGTCTATTCACTCTAAAACTATATCTCCTTGTCTTTTCACAACCCCCCTTACTACTCCATCACCCACTTCTACTGTCGTTCGCACATTTGACATATCCTCACCTCCGCGCTCTTCTATTTCTTCTTGGTGCCCTATTCCTATACTCTGATATTACTTTGGTATAATTGATTTATTTTGAAAAAAAGAGAGAATTTTCCTAATATTTGTTGTACAACTATTTTTCAGGATTGCTTAATGGACGTTTTAGATTTATTGGTTACGCAGGAGGAGATGGATAGTCTAGACAGCGACATCCGACCGGCGTGGAAGGAAGGGGGAATGATCTGCCCGGCATACCATTGTGAAGTCTGGCTGAACACCGACAAATCCTGGGACACTGCCAGGAGATCCATGAAGCTTCTATTGAAATCTTCCACTGTGGAGTAGAAAACTGCAGGCCCGTTTCAAGCATGGGAACAGCACAATTCCTCTAGGACAGCATGTCAGGAATATTGAATTCCAGGATCCCAGGCAGTGAACCATGCCCCCGGTCACAATCTCGGCAGCCAGGAGGAGATACCGGGATCAACAGGCTAACCTGAGGAGGGCTAACCAAGCTACAGCAGAGAACACACTCATGAGGTCGGAGACAAACGCAAGAGATCAAGACGTCATTACATAGGGGGAGGATACTTTTGTGGTGACCGGACGCCTTTGGGGTCCAACCAGCAAAAAGACATTGAAACATTATGAACATTATAAAGTTGATGTTATCCTGATATTTTTTTAAAATGTTATATTACTTTTGTTGTTTAATGGAATTTTTTTCTCATTCCTTCTAAGGACATATATTTTAATTTTTCTGAATACATGATGTAATCATTTATGTCCTAAGAAGGGGGAGTGTAGCAGGAATGGATTTTGTTATATGCATTTATGCCTTGTATTTGAGTAATAATATGTTATTATCAATGTTTTCATACATATATGTGTATACTGCCTTATACCTAATTCATTTGTTTATCTTTAGCATGTTTACAAACCTCCTCAGGGAAAAGCACGTGTTGCTTCCATCAAATATTTTGGGCTAATGTTTATCTAAATTTTGATTGGCTATTTATACGGAAGTTAACCTTTTGGGTGTTACTAATATCAAAGTTCATACCCTTCGGGTGCATCCACTAAGATCCTAAGTTGAATTTTCTATTTCCAAAAAGTATAAAAACCCGTGTAACTGTTATTTTAATGGGGAATCTTGAAAAGCATTCATTTGCTGTAAGTTCTCTCACTTTTTATAGAGGTTTATTAGGTATTTAACAGGTTGCACCCTTAGAAATTATGTTAAGGTTTCGTCAAAGGTCAACATGTCTAAAAATTATTTTTACAATTGCTCCAAAAGTATGTGTGGTATGAAGTCAAAACTTTTACATTTTGTAAATATATTACTGATTAATAGATAGAAAGTATTACTTGATAAAAAATATTTTTAAAAACATATTTTTGAGAAAAATTGCATCAGAAAATGTGCATATTTTTAAAAAATGCATCTGCTTAATTCTGTCCTTTCGATGAAAACCAACATTGTAGAAATAATATATGGTTATCATTGAATGGCAAGTTGGACTTGAATGGTCTCTGAAAGGCTGTTATTGAAAGCATGACATGTATAAAGACAAGGCCCCTGTAGAATCCGCCATTTGCAGTGTACTTTCACTTTCAAGTATTAACATTTTGACAAAATAAACTTGGAGAACAACTTTCCAGAGGCTATCCAAGTCCAACATGCCCTTCATTGATAAACATATTTTGTTTCTGCAATGATGGTTTTCACTAAAAGTATGGAATTAATTAGGTGTATTTTTTTTTTGAAAATATATGCACTTTTAAGATGAATTGTTCTCAATTAATATTATTCCAAGTATTTTTTTATCAAGTGATACATTCTATCTGTTAATCAATAAATAATTTATAAACTGTTAAAGTTTTAACTTTATACCTTACATAGTTTTGGATGGCTCTTCTGCCTTTCTGCCCCAAAGGGTCAGCAAGGCAGATCTGTCATCCATACCGACCTTAACCTCCCTCAGTGTAAGGTTGGTGGACATGTCCCCGACCTACCAACAAAAATGTTAAAATATCGTATATATGATTGATTAATTGTATATTGCTTAACGTCCCTCTCCAGACTATTTCACTGATATTGAGACGTCACCATTGCCGGTGAAAGGCTGCAAATTCAGGCCTATGCACGGCATTCAGGGCCATTGAGCAGGGAGGTATCTTTATCGTGGCAAACTTGCTGTGACACGGGGCCTCGGTTTATACGGTCTCATCCAAAGGACCGCCCCATTTAGTCGCCTTTCACACCAAGCAAGGGGTACTAAGGACCTATTCTAACCCAGGTCTTCAAGGGGCTCATATATATGAATTATAATTTAAAATAATTAACTAGTTTTGAGATTGCATCATAATCGTTTATAATCACATATGGAAAAGAAAGCTGCAGAACTGTAGCGTTATGTTTTTATTATATCAGTCCTTGACCATAAAGCTACAGAACAGATCCCGTAATGCCATAAAAAGTTTTAGAAGAATTTCTTTTCTTTCCAGCATTAGTCAACCAATTACCTTTCACTCGCTAATACTAATCACATTCGGTAATCAGTTTGTATATTTATTCACCTTGGAACTCTTCATATTCTTCTGTACAGACGATAAAATGGCTTGAAGTGAATTTCAGTAATTCAACAAATGATTCTAATCGAGCGATTTTTTCGCCTGTAGAGACGACATTTAAGGTTTGTGGCAAGGTGGATAAAATACAAAATTGGTAAAAGAATGTGAATTGAGTTAGAGAGTGATTGACCAATGTTGGAAAGTAAAGAAATTTTCCCCAAAAGTCCGCTAAAAATCCGTAAATTGCACCTTATTGCATTTCGGGATTTGTAGCCTTATGGTTAAGGACTAATATATAAAACCATAGCGATACAGTTCTGTAACTAATGGATAAGAGTGCAGGATGACAAGGATGTTGAGAAAATTTTGATTTAACATTTTGCGAATTTCTTTTTAAAAAATAATTTGTTCATTTTCAAATTATTCGAGTGTGTTATTTCAATTGAAAAAATTAATACGTACATGAAGTATATATTTCCACTGGCCCAATCGATAACCTCAAATGCAGTCCAGTCGAGGCTGCTTCAATAAGGGTTATAATAGGCGGTTTGAGGAATGCATTCTTGATATTTTTTTCCAAAGGAGAAAGGGTAAAGCTTGTCTCCATGATCTAAAATAACAAGAGGCCCACGGGCCTTATAGGTCACCTGAGCATTATGCATCAATTTTCCAGTTACTGAATTTGATTCATGTTTTAATTTAAGCCAGATGATATATGGCATTCACAATTTTGAAAGAGGCACCATTGATCATCATAACAGTACACTTAGCAGTTGCTTAGCTTGGTTACTGAATATCCATACGCAGGGTAGGGGAACAAAAATGTGTTCCAACTAATCAGTAATATTCAGCAATAATCAGTAGTGCGCCTAACACTGTGAAATAAACCCCTTACCCTAGGTCCACACATTGCACAAATTTAATAAGACACTCTTAAAATTGCCTATCAAAAAATAAATGAATGTTTTATAAATACAAAGGAGCAGATTTCAAACAATTTATTTTCAGTAAATAAGTAGAGCCCCCCCCCCCCCAACCCCTGACCCAGGGTCCTTGAAATTCACAAGTCTGCAAGATTAGGGCCCTTGCTCGTCATGACTATATAGGTAGTTAATCTGCTTCATACCCAGAGACAGAGAAGAAAATTTTCAAAGATTTAATGGATTTTCACTATATAATCAAAAGAGCCCCGCCCTAACATCAGAACCCCTGACTCTGGGGCCATAAAATTCAAAATTTTAGAAGAGGCATTCTTGCCCATCATAACTATGTACTTAGTTAGTCTATTTAATTCCTAGGAGCAGAAAAGAAGATTTTCAAAGAATTCATGTATTTTTACTATATAATCTATAGAGCCCCCCCCTCCTCAACACCAGAACCCCTGATCTTTGGACCATTAAATTTACAATTTTGGTTGAGGCACTCTTGATCATCATAACTATGCATTTAGTTAGCTTAATTTATACTTAGGAGCAGAGAAGGTTTTCAAAGAGTTCATGAATTTTCACTATATAATTAATAGAGCCCCCCCCCCCCACCTTCAACATCAGAACCCTTGACCCTTGGGCCATAAAATTCACAATTTCTGTTGAGGCACTCTTGCTCATCATAATTATTTATTTGGTTAGTTTATTTAATACCATGGAGCAGAGAAGAAGATTTTCAAAGAATTATTGTATTTTCACTATATTATCAATAGAGTCCCCCCCCCCACACACACACACCAGAACCCTTGACCCTGGGGCCATAAAATTCACAATTTTCGTAAAAGCACTCTTGCTCAACATAACTATACACTAAGTTAGTTTATTCAATACCTAGAAGCAGAGTAGAAGATTTTCAAAGAATTCATGTATTTTTAATATGTAATCTATAGAGCCCCGCCCTAACACCAGAACCCTGACCCTGGGACCATAAAATTCACAATTTTTGTTGAGGCACTCTTCCTCATCATAACCATGCACTTAGTTGGTGTATTTAATACCTAGGAGCCGAGAAGAAGATTATCAAAGAATTCATGTATTTTCACTATATAATCAATAGAACCCCCCCCCCCCCCCCAACACCAAAACCCTTGACCCTGGGGCCATAAAATTCACAATTTTGACTGATACACTTTTGGTCATCATAGCTATGTACTTGATTAGTTTATTTAATACCCATGAGCAGAGAAGAAGATTTTCAAAGAATTAACTCATTTTCATTGTATAATCAATAGAGCCCCACCTTAACACTAGAACCCCTGACCCTGGGTCCATAAAATTTACAATTTTTGTTGAGGCACTCTTGCTCATCATAACTATGCACTTAGTTAGTTTATATAATACCCAGGAGCAGAGAAGAAGATTTTCAAAGAAATAATGCATTTTCACTATATACTTATTAAGCCCCGCCCTAGCACTAGAACCCCTGATCCTGGGGCCATGAATTTCACAATTTTGGTAGAGGACTCAATGCTGATTACAATCATGCAAACAGTTTGACTGCTTGATGTCCAGGAGTAAAGAAGAAGATTTTTAAAGATTGCATTAATTTTAGTGGTTTTGGCCCCACCCCTCAGGCCCCAGTGGGGCAGGGATCATGAAATTCACAATTTTTGTTCCCCTTTAGCCATAGATGCTTTGTGCCAATTTTGGTTCAAATTGGTGCAGTGGTTGCAGAGAAGAAACTGAAAATGTTCAAATGTTAACACACGATGGACGACGGACGACGCACGACGACGGACGAAAACGGATAGCAATAGGTCACCTGAGTTTACTCAGGTGACCTAA